AAGCCAAACACTCCAAATCAAGTGGAAACATTAAAAGAGCTCAGCTTGGTGCTCTGAACTTATGGAACCACATAGTTTATTTTCACATGGATAAAGTGCATGTACATGTGTTTGTGTATGTGTGTGTGGCTTTTTGTGTAACCATCCTGCTGTGCTTCTGTTTATCCACCGTGCTTCACTCTCAAATGACAGAAACAAACAAACGCCAAGCAGTCTGTCTCTGGTGCTTTATTGTCATTGGAGTCAACTGGGACAAGCAATTAGACAATTTAAATTTATCATTTGCCATACTGTTTCAACAGTGGTAGCTATCCTTTTTGCCCTCTGGCCATTTATCACCTACTCCATCCAAATAGGGGATTTGTTGTATAGAAAGAACAGACACTCGTTAATTCGTTTTAAATATTTACAATAAAAATTTAATGGACCCATAGCTGTTATGTGCTCAAGTGCCTTGATTTTTTTCAAGTGTCTAATTTAATCATTTTCATAATAGATTAGCCAAAACCAAAAAAATTCTGTAAAAAACTATGTGATTACTTTATCTATAAAACAGGTTCTTAATTGAATTTCCCCCAAAATGTCAATACTGTATCATATATCTATTGATATCGGAAAATAAAATTACATATATCTTGATATTTATATTGCCCATTAGTAGTGGGTAGTGCACATAATATCCACTCCAATAAACTTGTGAATTTAAAACATGTAAAAAAGGAAAATCAAGACCAACAACATTCAAAGAAAGCTATATTCAGGAATGCAAATAAAGGGGCGGACATATGTTAACAGTTTTAAAAATAGTGTGATCAAAAAATAAGTGTGTGTTTGGAAGAGAAACACAATCTCTGATTACAGAAAGAAAAGGGTTTTTTGCACGTATGACAAAGGACAGCACATTTTGTACGTCTTGGACGAGTTCCTTGGCTTTGCGTTGGCATTAAAACAACTTCTGATCGGATGAGCCAGGATAAATGCTGACAAATGGAAAGCATACATGTAGGTTTCAGGTTCAAATGCAAATTCATTTTCGCAAAGAAAATTGCTCAGTCAGCTCTGAGTCTTTAACACCATACCTCATCACTTCTCAGAAAACAGTGTCAGAGAGCCCTAAGCTTAAGTAAGATGACTAAATACATGGAACCGGTCTACCTTATCAGTTTCAGTGTACTAGTGTAGTGTAGGTGTTGGTTTCCCACCGTAATGTGATGCAGTGACTCGTACATGTAGAAATGTCTGCCACAGTTTGGTGGAAAATGGGGCATGACTTTGCACCTGTTTAACACAAATGTGCAAGCACACGCAGACAGACACATCGTAGTGCTGAGGCAGGAAAAACACTTGTGGTTACGTGAGTAGAGAGAGATAAAGGTAAAAAGGTAAAAAAATTCATCCTGGATGGAGTGCCAGTTTGTGGAAGAATAAGGTGAAACAGGTCTTTGTTTTTCTCCTCTCCTGCTGCAGCAGTGTCTCTTCTGACTTATCTCTGCCTGCGCCTGTCATTTGTCTTTTCTGTTGCAGTAACTTCTGCCATGTCAGACAATTACGAGTCTAACCCATTTCACAGGGGATAATTAGTGTCATTATCATTAGCGGGGAGCAGAGCAGCACACCACGCAGCAAACAGAACAAAGGTTAAATCATTTATACAATGGCAGCAAACAGGTGGCAAAAAAGCTACATGATTTAGTCTTTTTTCACGGCCATTGTGTTTGTTCGCCTCTGGCTGGTCCAGTTGTTAGAACAGTCTGAGATGTAATAATTCACTTCTTCTGAAAGCTTATTCAATTACTGCAATTACTTTAACTGGATTGACAGATGTAAACCATTGGGCTGCTTTGGATCACAGTTACCTTAAAATTAGGTGTTATTAGCAAGTGTGTGTGTGTGTGTGTGGGGGGGGGGGGGGGGGGGGGGGGGTGTTACCTAGTGTCATGTCACCTCCTATAGTATCTAAACATACACTGCGGAAGAAGCATCAGTGCTGATGCTTCTTCCGCAGTGTATTACCGTGCATTAGATATGATTGGTGCTTCTATTTAAATTAGGTAAGTGCACATTCTTGGTAAGGATGTGGCTACACACAAATGCAAACCTGTGCATGCAAAACTGCTGACAGTAATAGGCTGTTTCCTGATTTGTCAGTTTTTAATCACAAGACTGGGTTGATAAAAGACACAACTTTTGGTACAACAATTTAGATTAAGGTCTAGCACTAAAACTGGAGTGGCATAGCTTGATTCATTCCAGCTAATCTGTGCTGACTCTGACTTGATCAAGTTGATTAATTGCGGTCCTCTCATTTCCTGGAGAGGTCTGGTAGCCAAGTATGCGATCAAGTGAAGAAACCAAAGGTCTGGCATTATAGAGCAGTGGTTTGCTTTGGCTGACCGCTTACTTTTCAGAGTTCCAAGATGAGACAACAAGGACCAGAATGCGGAAGATCAATAATATAGAGGGTCTTTTCTGGCCAGTGTGTAATTTCAGTATGATGGCTATCACCATATAAGTGGATTTTGCCTTTCTCTCACTGATGAATGCTGGTAATGTCAAATCCCCTCAAAGACCACACAAGCTACAAAATACATCAATTTTAATCCAGAGGAGCACTTTCTAAATGACTTCCTGGAAGCACTGTGTTCACACACACAATATTAATCTAAGATTTTAAAAATTGAAGGTATGTATGTATGTGAACGTGCCCTAGTATTACAGATGATCATTTGTGTCACTGTCTTATTAGCACTAAAGTAACCTCACATTATCACTCTCCCCTTACAGTTTTGGAAAGATTCCTCATACAAGCTTGAGTTAATCCTATGCCTTCCTCATTCCAGCCAGATGCGTGGTCTTTTAATTGCATACAAACATACATCAACTACACTTAATCTCCAGTCATATGAGGATATGAAGCATTACGTTTGAACCGACGCAGTGGTCTTTATGTCTCCTGGTAGTGTTTGTGTGCCCCTTCCCCTGATTTTTCATTGCTCTCAATCCCCGCTACAATGTAGATGACTAATTTTGCAGCACATCAAAAAAGGTGGCCAGTGACTGTGTGTGTGTGCGCGTGTGTCACACTGAAGATATGATTCGTTAAAGCTTAATCCTGGCGGAAGAAAAGACCAGAGGCAGCGGCTCTCTGAATAATAGTCACACCAATTCTATGTGGGTTTGGTGAATGACAAACCTGGCATTTAAATGTGGCAGCACAGCAACGATCTGGCTGAATTAGAATACTGAGAAGTGAAGATGATGTTTCCACAATTAAATGCTAAAATTAGAGCGACAAGAACTTTTTGTTTCTCAGTGAAACAAGTGACTTTTCTGATGCCGTGAATTCAACGTGCCCCACTGAGCCTGAATTACAAATATATTCTGCGAGTTAAGGTAAGAATATTGGATTTCTTCCATCTTAAGAACCAAATGTTCTGTCAAAGCCTTCTGGCACACTGACACATGATGACGTGTCAGGGGTTGCTGAATCAACCACCTGATTACTATGCACTTCATGCTGCTGCCGCCACACTCCTCCTGAAACTTGACCCGCTGTAAATACTGAATGTGCTTTTTGATTCTGTAGATGCCTCCAATATACTTAGCAGTCTTTCACGTGGTGCAATTAACTTTGCCATTATGCCATTTGCTGCAAACACCTACGTCATGGAGAGCAAAAAATGTCTAATTTCGCCTCGTGTTGGTATTTCAACACAGTATGCTCAAACAATAGCCCACATATTGACACACTGTCACGCACCGATGTGAACACGCTGCGCTCAAATGTAACATGTGACGAAAAAAAAAATCACACATCACATCAGCAAAATCCCACGACTGCTGACAGCAGACATACTATTCTTTTCTAAACGCGTCAAAAGACACATTGGAGGATACAGTGTGTCACCAGCTTTATACGTCTCCATCTTGCACAAAATTATGGAAAACTGCTGTATGTCATCAAACCATCTTTTCCCCACAGTTTCCCCAGCACTTGACAGAGAAAATAATGTCATTCGCATCAGTAGAATTTGGTTTTGTGAGGTGATGAAAAGTGGAAAGTCCAAGAACTTTAAATTTACCCTATATGGTAGAAACAAAAACTGTGTCATATCCTCTTTATCTGGCATGAGCAAAATGGGTTGGAGTGAACCACTAGAAGTACACACACACACACACACACATATATATATATAAAAACCTATAAATCCACACAGGTCTGTGTCCAGGCCTATACAGTCTATGGTCTGTCCAGGCAGTAAATGTTCAGTGTGATTCTAGTGTGTGTGTTCCTCAGATAAAAGGCTGAAGATTACCTGTGAGAGTCCAGCTGGTGGATCTCCCACATGGTTTCTGTGCTGAGAAGCAGATTATCTCCTCTGCACAGTCAACAGCAATCATCACTGTGTGGAGACCATTTACCCTTGCACACACACACACACACATAAGATATTATATATTGTTTAATCGACAAACTAATCAAAGAAAACCTACATCAATACATAATTAAAATGCAGCTCCATAACAACAGCACGGCTATTTCTATTAAATTTGACCTACTCCTTTACATCTGGGCAAGATTGGTGCAAAATTAACAAATCTGTGAACATACAAGGCATTTGGGAATTTGTATTGTTTTCACCATAGTTTTTTCCTTGTGCTCTTCTCTCGCTCAGAGGTAAACCTACCTGTCTAACCTGTCTAAACTCATGGGATATCCCACACACGCGACTTTAACGGCAACAAAATGACACCATGAACATCAGTAAAAAAAAGTAAATACAAACACGTGTTTCACTAAAACGCCGTAGCCTGCTCGGTGAGTTTAAAAACTCCTTCTGCCTTGCTGTTTGTCACGAGCTCATCAGTAAAATATGCCCCAATGAGTATTACCGATGAGACAGACAATCCCGGGGATATCTGAAAATGAGCTTACACTAGCGAGGATAAATGGTTTTGTCTGGTGCTAGTGTGTGTGTGTTGTTGTGAGGTGGATTTACCTGGTAGATGTGCACTGACACGGACGGCACATAGCAGGACCACGGCGAGCAGCAGCAGCGAGGCCCGGCTCTGGCGTCCGTTCCGCGGGCTGGAGAGCAGCAGCATCCTTGGGGTCTTCTCGGTGACGGTGAACCGCAAACGGTGACGGAGGCTGTTGTCATTCCGCCATCACTTTTCTTTTTGTTTCGGGCTTGTTTTTTTGTTATGCGAGAGCTCTTCACACGCTGATGAGCCGAGCAGGTAGCACGGCGCCGTCTGTCCACACACTGCGCACTGTAATCCGTGGCAGAGCTAAAGATAGCGGAGCTTCAGGCAGGGAAGGAGGTGGTGTGCGTGTGTTTGACATGCTGCCTTCACGGTCTCCTCATAAAGTCCTAAATAAAAACCGAGTCGTCACAGAACAGACAGCTGATTTGTGTTTTCCACAGTATGTTTTTTTATAACAGTATTATGCAGACAGTTATGGACTAGTAATCCATTATCAATTTGTTCAAAGTCGCCTTTTTGATTTAATGCAATTGAAACATGAAACATAAAGGGGCGTCCTTTCATTAAATAAAATAAAACGTAGTAGCACACACAGTAAGAGGCGGTAAAACAAAAAGCTCTTTCCTCTTTGTTTCCACTAGAAAGAAAAGGCAATTATTTTACTAAAAAAAACAAACAACAGTTAACGATTAGCTCTTCCACATTATTAACTATTAATTCAACAACTTCTCACAGTCTTCAATTTAGTTCAAGAGGCTTTATTGCCATGACATTTGACATGTGTTGCCAACGCACATTTACGATTGTGAAAGACAATGTTAAGGAATGAAATTAACACAAATAAGGTGAATAATAAAATTAGTTAATAGAATAACATTGATAGGCTAATTAAATAAAAAATAATATTTAAAAAAATAAATACTAATCACGTTAGTATTGGTATTGTTTCCATGTGACCCTAACAATGCAAGACAAACAAAAACAATGCAAGTGTTCTATATACAGTGAGGAAAATAAGTATTTGAACACCCTGCTATTTTGCAAGTTCTCCCACTTAGAAATCATGGAGGGGTCTGAAATTGTCATCGTAGGTGCATGTCCACTGTGAGAGACATAATCTAAAAAAAAAATAAACCCCGATATCACAATGTATGATTTTTTAACTATTTATTTGTATGATACAGCTGCAAATAAGTATTTGAACACCTGTCTATCAGCTAGAATTCTGACTCTCAAAGACCTGTTAGTCTGCCTTCAAAATGTCCACCTCCACTCCATTTATTATCATAAATTAGATGCACCTGTTTGAGGTCGTTAGCTGCATAAAGACACCTGTCCACCCCATACAATCAGTAAGAATCCAACTACTAACATGGCCAAGACCAAAGAGCTGTCCAAAGACACTAGAGACAAAATTGTACACCTCCACAAGGCTGGAAGGGCTACGGGGAAATTGCCAAGCAGCTTGGTGAAAAAGGTTCACTGTTGGAGCAATCATTAGAAAATGGAAGAAGCTAAACATGACTGTCAATCTCCCTCGGACTGGGGCTCCATGCAAGATCTCACCTCGTGGGGTCTCAATGATCAAAAGAAAGGTGAGAAATCAGCCCAAACTACACGGGAGGAGCTGGTCAATGACCTGAAAAGAGCTGGGACCACCGTTTCCAAGGTTACTGTTGGTAATACACTAAGACATCACGGTTTGAAAGGTTCCCCTGCTTAAACCAGCACATGTGAAGGCCCATCTTCAGTTTGCCAATGACCATTTGGATGATCCAGAGAGTCATGGGAGAAAGTCATGTGGTCAGATGAGACCAAAATAGAACTTTTTGGTCATAATTCCACTAACCGTGTTTGGAGGAAGAAGAATGATGAGTACCATCCCTACTGTGAAGCATGGGGTGGTAGCATCATGCTTTGGGGGTGTTTTTCTGCACATGGGACAGGGCGACTGCACTGTATTAAGGAGAGGATGACCGGGGCCATGTATTGCGAGATTTTGGGGAACAATCTCCTTCCCTCAGTTAGAGCATTGAAGATGGGTTGAGGCTGGGTCTTCCAACATGACAATGACCCGACGCACACAGCCAGGATAACCAAGGAGTGGCTCTGTAAGAAGCATATCAAGGTTCTGGCGTGGCCTAGCCAGTCTCCAGACCTAAACCCAATAGAGAATCTTTGGAGGGAGCTCAAACTCGGTGTTTCTCAGCGACAGCCCAGAAACCTGACTGATCTAGAGAAGATCTGATTTTCTCAGGTGTTCAAATACTTATTTGCAGCTGTATCATACAAATAAATAGTTAAAAAATCATACATTGTGATTTCTGGATTTTATTTTTTTTAGATTATGTCTCTCACAGTGGACATGCACCTACGATGACAATTTCAGACCCCTCCATGATTTCTAAGTGGGAGAACTTGCAAAATAGCAGGGTGTTCAAATACTTATTTTCCTCACTGTATAATTAGGTTAGTGGGCATAATACAAGACTTCATTATTCAATAGATGATAAAAGAAAATCAACTGATAACTGAATAAAATAAAGACATGTTGATAGTAGAGATAATATAGTCATTAGCCTAGTCAATAAATAACAACACAGGGAGGAGGAAGGATATGGATGCGGTAAATAGAATATAGTAAGTACAAGTATATTTATGTCTATATATCTTTGTCATACTGGTTGTCTCATTTGTTGTGGCAGGAACTGACATATTAAAGAGCCTACATTGCACATGCTTTTTTTCCTATGAAGGAGGGGAAATTTCTCTCTTTCCTTCCTGTCAAACTTCGTAATTCAGTGTAACTTTGGAAATAGTTCATCCCTAATATTTCTGTATTTCTGACATTCAGTTAAAAATAGTAATTGTGTGTCTACAGCTCCCTCATTACAACGACAGCACAGCCAGTCCTCTCTGGGCAGCCAGGTCTGCAGATGTCTGCTCCTCTATGTGGTCTGTTTAGTAATAAAAAGCAAAAATAAGCCACACTGGGAATCATGTCATATCAGATTTAATCTAATAGGCTACCTTTTTATTTTTCTACTGAAGATAAACATGACAACTAAACTTTAAATAGAGTAAAGATGAATGCCTCTAAAATAGCGCAATGACTAAAACTACAACTATGATTGAATATTCACTTTGAACTTCAGTTTTTGATATATAGTCTCCACTCTCACACCATGACAACTAAAGCCTACATGGAAAGTTCTACTTTTGAATTTAATCTTTATGCCTTTATCCTAACCTATGCAAAGTCTTACAATTGAGATGTCACTGTTTCCCACAGCACCTGAAGGCAGCGCTTTACTACATCCATGGAGATTAGAAACAGGGCTAGGAGGTAGGCTATGTGAGACGTGATGACGTTAAGGTATCTGACGTGCTTGGTTACATGGTCCACACAGTGCTTGAACCCAGCATGTAACGATAAAAAATGCTAATCTAATTTTAATGATAATGAATTTACATTTTGTCAACCAATCATTCAATCATTTATTTGTATCAATTAATTGTTCATTAACCAACACAGATTAGCTAGTAGCAGCCTAATGAATATAGTGGTTGAGGTAGAAAGATAATGAGCGAATATAGGAGGCTTACTTTTATCCAAGCTGATGTAGCAGGTGCAGTAAAATGATGCCACACATGTTTTTAGATGTATGAATACACATCAAATAAAACATATACTGCAGCATCATTTCTTTCTGTTGTTGTCCGTTCCTCCTATAAACCACATTAATCTTTTCCAAACACAGAACAAATGGTGACTTGCAGCTGGCGACAGACCCGGCCTCTTTGTTTGCTTAGAGCTGAAAGACCTCCAAACAAAGGCCAAAATTTAGTGACCAGGCCAGAAACAAACACGGTTTGCCAGCGATAGATGAAATTAGCCATGTGGAACATATCTATGTATCATCACTGAATACTACTATTATACATTATTGTAAAAACAGCATGGCTCTTTTATCATGGTGAGAAATATCCATCATGTGAAGGCACCCAAGATGAATATTATCGACTACATGACTACCAGGAAATCAGTTTGAATATAATATCACTATACTATCCAAAAACATGTGTGAATCATCTGCAAATCTGCGGTGTAATGTTTTGTCATTGCTCTTGTCACCACTGTCATTATCAGCAATATCATAAACGTCATCATTCTTGTGGTTGTGGTCTTCTGTAGTAGCTGTTCCCATTCGGCACAAAAGGTTTCAAGGGCCATCTCATCTTCTGATGGGAAAAAAAACACATTCAGTGTTTTTATCAATATAGGGGTTGGGGGGGGAGAACTGGTTTGAATTTATTGTTTATAGTGTTTTCAATTTATTGACAAGACTGCCTCAGCCCACAGTCAGAAACTAAACACAGTGAAGATGTGAAACAGAAACAGGAGCCACGACGTGCATCTCTCTTTGGCACTTTTTGACTTTCAACCACTGATTAACAGAAACCTTAGAAAAAACCCCAGCTAAAAACAAAATTAAACAGCATGAAAAAAGAATGAAAAAGAATCCCCTTCTTCTTGTCCATAGTCTTTTTCTCTGTGTGAACCGTAACGTACATAATCCTGAGATATACCGGTTGGCAAAGCCTCATACAGGCTAAACAAAACAAAATGTTACGTTGGATTGAGACTTAGTTATCTCAGCAGCATCAGGAAAAGGTCCACTGTACTAACAAAAGAAAACATTCTCTGGCACAAAAAGTGTCCTCTGTACCCACCCACCCAAACAAAAGCTCACGTTTCATGTTCCACAAAAGACAAAAATCATGCAACAAATTATTAGTGAGAATGAAGTGAATATGAACAAATGGATTAAAGAGTTACATATTGTTTTGAATTTTTGCATAAAGTAGTGACACATAAGAATGCCAAGAACATGGTTTAGTTTGTGTATAGAGTGTGAGACACCAACAGCAGGTACATTTAAGTGTTGACAAGAGAAACAACAAAACTGGATCCAAAATGCTTTCAGAAAATTCAGTGAGTATTTTTATGAGACTCAATTAGCCTTTCTAGTTCGACTGTTACCATTTTAGATTAAGCAAACACCTCGTTGTGCTCCAGCAATCTTAAATGATGTCACTAAATATAACATTTTTACTTACATTTTAGTATTGCATCGTTACACAATGTAAATGGGATGATAAATGACTGCAATTGAAAATAACTTATTGCGCCACACACAAACAAATGCAATGACAGACTGATTGGTCAGTTCTGTTTGAATCGACGATCCTACCCGTGTTTCAAAGTGCATATCTGTCTGGGACTGCAGACTGAAATCCTGTGGATGCTTCATCTGGACCTA